CCTCCATCCCCCTCTCTGTCTCCCCTCCCTGCTTCCTATCATCAGTAACATCATCCACTCCTCTCTGACCACGGCTACTGTTCCCACAGCTTTTAAACCAGCTGCCATCACCCCATCATAAAGAAAACAGGTCTAGATCTGACTAACTTCAATAATCTCGTCTCATTTCTAATCTGTCCTTCATCTCCAAAATCCTTGAAAAGTCGTCTCTGATCAGCTACACTCACTCCTCTCCAACAATAACCTGTGTGAACAGTTCCAGTCAGGTCTTCAACCACATCACAGCTCAGAAACTGCTCTTATTAAAACGACTGATGATCTTCTCCTTGCTGCTGACTCAGGACTTCTGTCTAAACTCACCCTCCTTGATCTGAGCTCCTCCTTTGACACCATCTCTCATCCTATCCTCATCGACAGACTATCTTCTGTCGACATCTCAGACACCCCCTGGACTGGTTTAAATCCTATCTTTCTGACTGCACTCAGTTCATACAGCTCAAGTCCTTCTGCTCCCAGTCTTCACCCATCTCCATTGGTGTTCCCCAAGGATCTGTACTCGGGCCTCTACTTTTCATAATCTCTCTGCTCCCACTTGGCCACATCTTCTGTAAATTTGGTGTCCAATTCCACTCGTATGCCGACGACACTCAGCTCTACATTTCATCAAAACTGAACTCCACCTTCTCATCCTCCACCCTTACAGACTGCTTCAGTGAGTTCAACAACTGGTTCTCTAACAGTTTCCTCCAACTAAACCATAACAGAACTGAAGTCCTGCTTGTTGGGATTGCCCTACTTCATAATTAAATCATACTTTAATGTTAAAAGTATATTTGAAACCACTGGGTGGTTAATGGTAATTAAATCTCATCGTTGTGTAGCAGCAGTTTGTTTCTCAGCCACCTAAACCTTCTTCTGCAGATAAACTTGGTCTATCTCTTGGACTATAAGAGGAGGTGTTTAAACACTGTTCCCATGCAGGAAACACCAGGTAGAGCTCAGGAAGTGTTTGTGTGGTCACCTGGCAGCAGAGCAGCTTCCTCCTCAGGCAGGTGTCCCACCTGTGCAGTGCTGAACAGGCTCTGCTCCAGTCTGTCCTCTGGTCCTGCAGGCCCACCTTCAGCATGGTGGGCTCGTAGTGGGAGAAGACTCGCTCCAAGTCCTGAGAGCAACACGCAGGTGGAAACCATCATCATCATCATCATCATCATCCCTCTGAAACAAAGAGTCAGGCCTGTTGAAGCTAACATACCTTCAGCTGTTTGGCCTGAGCTTCCAGCTCCTTCATGCTGACTGAAGACTTGGAGCTCAGGAGGTGGTCCAGCTCAGGGACCACCTCCTCCAACCAGGAAGTGATGTCATCCAGACCAGGGTCCTGAGGGCCGACCTGCTGATTCACTGAGAGCAGAGGAGGAGGAGGATGATGTCATCAAGAGGAATGATTTGTGTGTTTGTGTCAATGTGTGTGTGTTTGTGTGTGTTTGTGTCAATGTGTGTGTGTTTGTGTGTGTTTGTGTCAATGTGTGTGT